GCCCTGAAGCAAAGGGAGCTCGTGCCTCTCTTGTTGCCCTCTCTGCTCTAGCTGATGCTGGGCACTAGCAGCCTCCAAATGCCATCAAAGGAATATGGTAATTGAGAGCATGGCCTGATTTGGAGTGCAGGTTGCGAACCTGCAGGACACATTTGCAGTGCAATTAGACTCATGGAAGCAACAGAGGCAACGCAATGTGCAGTGCTGGGGGTCATTCCCTGCAGGGGCACCACCCTGGGACTGCTGTGCATGGAGCTTGTTCTTCAGGAACCTCAGAAACACAATGAGTGCGTTAAACCTCAGCCAAGGAGTCTTGTTTACTCTACAGCAAGCAGAGTGCAGAGGGCTCTGTGCTTTGTGCACATGTTGGAATTAGAATCATAGAATATCTCAAGTTGAAAGGGACCCACAAGGATCATTGAGACCAAATTGTGCCTCCTAAGCCTTATTCTTGGACTCTCTTTCCATATGCTGGGGATGAAGATGTTTTTACCACAGTAGACAATGGAGAAAGGTCCCAGAAAGGGGTGCACCACATAATGTCAATAGCAAATTGTGGTCTGGATCCATTTTCATGCTTACACAGCAGCATCCAGCCCAGACCAAAGCCTGCAGGATAAAATTGGAGGCATGAGTGACCCAGAGCTTGGTGGGACAATTGCGTGTTTGTCCTTGGGATGAAAGAAGGAATTCAGTTTGTGCTGTGGCAAAGCCCAGAAAGCACAGTGGGAAGATTTAATGGAAGTTTAATGGTTGATCTAATGGGATTTGCAGGAGGCCCGATAGGGCACAGGAGGACCACAGCTCCCTGCTTCCATCTTGTTGGGGCAGTAGATGCCCATTGTACAGCTCTCCTCATGCCTCAGTTTTCCCATCAAAGCATCCTGGTAATTCTTCCCAGGTGCTCGTGGGAAGGGTGAGCCTGGGAGGGGGAGGGAAGCTTGGAACTTCATCACTGAATGCTCCATTTGGACCATGCAAACAGCAGGCTGCTGTCACCTCTTCCTTGAGGAGCTTTCCTCCTGCCCAAGGAACTGCCGGCACTCCATCGCAAGGTGGAAAATGCTTGGCATTGTGTCCAGCCCCTGTTTGAAGTGGGAGAGGAGCAACTTTGAATAAGCTTTTTATGGGCCCCATGGCTCTGCTTGACCATAATGTCAGCTTGTAATTAGCAACAGATACCACTTCTGTCACTCGAGATGTTATCATCAGCCGTCTTGCGTTTCAAAGTGAGGAGAGGCATGTAAATTACAGGCAATTTGGGCTCTGAAATAGGCTTTATGGTTTTTTTCTACAAGGCAAGCAGGAAGCACGGGTGGATTTTGTTAGGGAGGTAGCAAAGGGATGGGCAGGAGGGAGCACAGGGCTGCATGGAGCTGCTCAGGGCAGGGCAGCAGAGCAGAGCAGCAGGCAGCGCGGGGAGCTGTGCAGGGGCTCATTCATACCCCGAGAGGGGGACAGGGAGAAGAGTCCTCAAAGCCAGTGCAGCCCCGCTCCATACTCAGCACATCACAGGAGCTTTGGCTGGCTCTGTCAGATGGCCCCAGTTCAGCTGAGGCAATATTTTCCCCTTATTGATAGAAAACATTGCCTTCAACTGAAATCTAATTTTCAGAGCAAAGGAAAGGCTTGTGTTCCCCCAAACAGATTTGGTTTTCCGCAAGGAAGACAAAAGCCCCAAACTCACTTTGTTTCCAGTTTTAACTTCAGTTTAAAAAAAAAAGAAAGAAAGAAAAGAAAAAGAAGGAGCAAAATTAGAGAGAGTAGAATTTGTTGTGGGGTTAATTTTTGGAGTTCTGCATGGAAAAAGCCTTTTTCTTGTAGCAGACCCCGAGCATTTCCCACATCCCTTGGCACTGCTCTGCAGCCTCACATATCCCGGTGCCAGCGCGGGGATGAGGATTTGATTTCATCTGCAGGAATTGTCGGCTCCTGCCTCGCTTGGCCTCCTGCAGAAGAAGCTGCTCTTTGCTTGGGCTCCCCAGGAAATGAGCTAAAGCAGGGTTTGGCCCCACATTGGCTCGGCAGTGTCAAGTTTTCCCCTTTTATTTGCTGGAGGAATTCAAGCATCACTCCACCGCTCCAATCTTTCTGGCAAATAGCGCAGCCAAAAAGGTTATCTGCCTTCAAACAGAAATAGCTTGTGTTTAGAGAAGAATTAAATTTTGTTCCCTTTAGAGCTGCAACCACATCCTCAGAGCTGTTAACCTGAATGTGAACTTCAGATAATAAAACTCTAACCTCGCCCTCGCCAGTCGGCAGCTACCTTGTGTACTCTCCCACTATCTGCCCCATCGATGGCTTGATAGCACAGCTTGTTTTCTTTTTCAAGGGAAGACAGCTACTAAATCTCCATTCCGCTCCCCTTCCCTCTCCTTAGCACTCTGGGGCTTCTCCACAGCTGCAATGCTTTTCCATCGTCCCTGCTCTCAGTTAAATAAACATTATGACACATACTGATTGCTTTAACAAACTTTACTGTTCCACGTCCCCGGCGAAGCACGGTTATCTTTTTACAGGGAACATTCCTTTCCTGTTGCTATGCCTACTTCAGCGCCATCCAGTGCGATAGCCAAGGCTGCTGAGAGGACCCACAATTTCCAACCACTCCATTTTGCTCATCCCGAAATAGCAGCGCAGCGGCGCGGGGCCAGGACTCGGCAGATGGGAACTGTCAGAGCTCTGTGCCTTCAGCCCAGGCGGGGATCCGGCCCTGCTGCCGGAGCAGGAGCAGATGGAGCTGGGATGGACACGTGGAAGGAGGACAGTGGCAGTCGAGGCAGATGAAGGACAAAGGTGCCAGCCCGGCATGGCGCACGGCTGTCCTCCTCCTCCCTCTGAGGCTGTGCTGGAGTCCTGTCATTTGCAGTTAAATTGCAGAATCCAGAGATATTTCTGGTAAATTGTATTTCATAACCATTCATCACCGCCGTGGACAATTTCTGTCGCGTCACAAGCTGTGTTTTAAGGCTTGCAGGGAGAGGGGAAGCTGCCATTTGGCTTGGCTAGGCCAACAAAGCACTTGGCCAGCAACAGGGAAGCTGGGACTGCTGCCCAAATGGTGCCAGGGCATAATGTCCCCACATCCCTGCCCTCAGAAGTGAGTGGCATTCAGGTTCCACGTTGTTTTTCACTTCTAACACAGCAGAGCCTATGACAGAATCATAGACTAACACAGGTTGGAGGGCCTTAAAAACCATCCAGTTTAACCCCCACCAACTCAGGCTGCCCAGTGCCCCCATCCAGCATGGCCATGGGCACCTCCAGGAATGGAGCACCCACACTTCTCAGGGCAGCCATCATCCATGGCGTTGTGCAGTGCTGTTAATGACTGCAGCGTGATGTAGGGGTTTTAATGACAGACTCCCCTGAGGGTCAGTGATTTCTCAGTTTTCCTCATTTTCATTTCTTTTTGTGAAAACATTTGCTTCTCCCCTCACTATAGGAAAGGCATTGAGGCCCTGGAACATGTCCAGGGATGGGCAACAAAGTTGTGCAGGGTTTGGAGCACAAAGCTTACGCGAGGTGACTAAGGGAACTGGGACGGGTCAGTCTGGAGAAGAGGAGACTCAAATGAGACCTTATTGCTCTCTATCCCTCCCTGACAAGAGGTTGTGGTGAGGTGGGGATTGGCCTATGCTGCCTGGTAATGGTGATAGGATGAGAGGTGATGGCCTCAAGTTGTGCCAGGTGAGTTTCAGGTTGGATATAAGGAAAAACTCCTTCTCAGAAAGAGTGGTGAGGTGCTGGCCAAGGCTGCCCAGGGAGGTGGTGGAGTCACCATCCCTGGAGGTGTTCAAGAACTGTGGAGATGTGGCACTGAGTGACATGGTCAGTGGGCAATGGGTTGGAATTGGACTTAGGGATCTTAGAGGTCTTTTCCAACCTTTATGATTCTGTGATTGTTGAGAGAGTGCAGGTTGGCTCCTCAGACACTTCAGTTATCAAAGGAAAAGCCAAAGCCCTGATTATTTCTGCCCAGTAGAGACCCAGCTGCAATAGCTCTAGGCAACACAGAGATCGATACAGCTGGAGAGGATTTCTGGCAGCAAGTCCATTGTAGAAGGCAGCTCTTCTGAGTATCAGCCAGCGAATTTTGGGTCCCCAGCGCATTACCATGCATTGCCCTTGCAGCTCTCCATCTGAACGTTCCTGCACTTCATACACTACAACCCCCAACTACTTTCTCCTTATTGTAAGGACTCTGAGCAATACACCGGATCTAATTAAGATTTCTTCTAATCTTTCCCTTTTTCCCCAACAACTGGGCTGGCTGTGTATGGGAGGGAAGGCTGTGAGCAGAGGAAAGGACTCAAGAGGAAGCAGATAAAGGGGAAGCCCTGTTCCTCCTAGCTCATTTCAGGCAGCCAGCACGCTGCCAGGCTGACCCCCCTCACTGGGGGCATTCCCTGCCTTTCCCCATCCCTCCCACTAAGACCACAAAACCCAGTGCTGCATCAGTCTCACCAAACAGGGGTACCCCAAATGGAGGGATCACCATGGGATGAATCCAGAGCTGGGGCTGTGCATGGGGAGACGTGGCCCCCAACCTGCCCCAATAGATACGGCAATCGCAGATGATATTCCCCATAACGAATAACCCAGCAGTGCCAAGGGATGTTTCTGCTGCATTAAAGGACACATCTCCACACACAGCAGCCCAGCCAGGGCAGCACTCAAAGGGAGCAGCGATAGCAGAGAGCTGGACATTTCCAACCCCAGACAGAGAGAGACAGCCGCGTGGATGGAGGAAATGATTCAGGATCTGGAAATTTGAGCAGCACAGGCCGCGTGTGCTGGGGCTTGAATGGGCCTCTCTCAACACAGAGTGGTTGGGGTTTTTTTACTGGGACACAGGCGGGGATTCTTGGAAGCGTGTCAGGAGCGGGCTGAGTGCGTGCGCCAGACCCACGTGGAGAAACCTCCTGAGCTGGAAGGCCAGCTGATTGCTTTCCCTTTTTGCAGGTTACACAAGCAGAAGGTTAAAAGAGCCACATTCCTTGCCATCATTTGCTTTTATTAAAGGAATAATGCATATCCACGTTACCGGCAAGTCCTACGCATTGCAGATGTACTGTGGATTATAATGGGATTGGACTGGCCTTCCATGGAAAAAAACTTTCAAAGCCTTTTGTGGTCCATCATGTATTTTCTGCTGTAATTCCACTGTTGGTTTCCATTGAGCTGCCAACAGGCACACTGCTATTGTGCCCAGCATGGCATGAGGCAGCCCCTACCCAGACCTGCCGGGATCACATCTCAGCTGGGTAACACAAGACCAAATCCAGCAGTGAGGCTCCACATGGAGCTGCAGAAGTCTGAGCAATCTCAGCTGCTGCTGCGGGAGTTATGGCAGTCATAGCAGGAAGAAGATCCAGCAAGGTCGGTTCCAGGCATCATCACTTAGTGTATCACTTCATTAAACTGAAATGTGATTGAGTTTCCTCCCAGGCAGTCTTCGAGAAATGCATTCATAGGGCATCTGGAGGGGTCCAACACTCCTGGTTGCATGGTACGAAGTACTCAGGATAGAAATCAGTTCCTCCCAGGACGGTCAGATGACAGCACTGAGTTTGTCCCTGAGCTGGCTGTGAACCTGATGACCAGGAAGGGCCAGATCTGCCCACCCAGGAAATGTATTTCTCCCAGACCAGCTCCAGTCCTGGTCCTGGAAGCAAACACCTCCCTGCCCCTGTGTCCTCTGGCCGAGGACTGGAAGCACCACCTCAATTAATGGGAAGGGAGTCTGCCTTCCTGTTTGTGCAAGAACTGACTTCTCTGATGGTCTGCCAGTGGTGGGGCTGGATTTAAGAAGAATAAAACACTGGTGAGATGAAGGAGAGCATCAGTGAAGGTCAGCGAGCACTTTGGATTAAAATTTCTCCCCAGATTTATGAGAGGTTTGCATTGTTTAGCCTTCTTTCTCTCACTGGGTGATTTCTTGCATTCCTGTGGCACTAGAAGGCAAATTCATCCTTGCTCTAAATCCATTTATTCTTCTCCTGAAATTAATTTTGCTCTCACATTTCAAAGAGCAAAGATGGCAGAACAGCACTAAGTTCTCTGAGACACAGAAGAGTTGCTCCTGCTGCTACGGCGTAACCACAAACACGGTTTATGCACTCTGCGGGAGGACTGCGGATGTTTTACCTTTGGTTTCCAGCAAGCCCAGCTTGCTTTGAGCCAGCTTCATAGTTCTCTTCTTTGGGAAAAATGGAAAAAAATACAAACAAAATCAGACCCACGTTTCCATACACACCTATTCCCTACCATATTTTCAGGAAAAGTGCGTGGTGAGTCTTTACACATCACTCAGTAATACGTGCAGAACTAGAATGATTTGCTGCTGAGGTGGTGAAAAATTAGCAAACTTTCACCAAGGTTGAGCAATAGATGAGATCTTGTCTCTAAAGGAATGACATTATGAATCCAGTGAGGAGAAGGAACAGACTGTTGGCTTTTCTATCTAGGAAGCAGCAGGCTGCCAGAAGTCTCATATAAATGAAAGTCCTGGAAGAGAGCAGCACGATCTGTCAAAGGGAAGGGCTGGTGCTAACCACCACAATCAACAATTGCTGACAGATGAACCTTCCTGAGACCACTGGGTCTGGAGAATTTCTGAGGAGTAAAAAACTTCTGTCCATTACGGAGGCTCTTGCAAAACCTCTACAGAATCCCATCTCCAACTCCTGTGTTCCAGAAATAATTGAAAAACATCAGAATACCAAGAAAATATCTGAATAATCTCTCTTGATCTTGGGCCCAGCATCAAACCAGAGGATGCCAGGAACCCAGATGCACAGAGGGCAGGTGGAAAGCACAGTTGCAGTCCCCTCTGCAACCATTCCATCAATGAATCCCTGTCCAACTCCAGTGCTAATGTGCCCACTGAGCATCCACTGGACCTACCTCTTTCTAGTAGGAGAGATTCTTACCTCCTGAAGGAGGCACAGAACAAGAGCAAGAGTCTTTGAAACTGGTATGGATTTTGCTCAGTGTCCATCATGACTACAAGCCCAGTTTTAAAACATATTTTACAGGAAAAGACGGCATTCAGTCACATAGCGTTTGTATAAGCAAACAGTAGCTGCTCAAAAATCAGCTCATGTCCATGCACAAAAGCCTGAAAAATGCTCAGTGTGTTATTCCAGTACACCAGTACCTCACAGCTTCCACTGCCTGACCCAGTAGCAGATTTGGACATGTTTTCCAGCACATAAGGTTTAACTCCGGCCAGAGTCCCAAAGCAGCACATTTAATATCCCTTTCAGAACATCATTAGCATTAACTATTCTTACTTCATGTTATTCCTGTAAGCGGATCCCCCTCTGGGCCTTGCTCCAGGCTATCCCCTGAGCATTCACTCAAGTGCACTCAGAGCACTCCCAACCACCACAAAGGGCTGATCCCCAGTCCCCTGCACGCAGTGCTTGCTGACCCTTTACTCCACCAGGGGATCAGTGATCATCCCGGTCCCAAGTCACCAGGCAGACCCAAAACCCAACGACACCAGCTTGCTGAGCCTCCTGAGCTGGAGAAGAACCCAATGGGAATCAATGCAGCAAAAAGGAGCTGAGCATCGCTGTGATCACACACACCAACCAAGGCCAAGGGCTCAGCTTGGAGCAGGTGCCCCATCCCAACATGCAGGGCTGCAGGAGGGCCGTGCCAGCCCTGCTCCACCCCTGCACAGCACTTGGGGGAGAGAAACCTCTGATTGTTTTTTTATCATTATTATTAGGGCAGCTTGCCAGCCTTTCTGTATCATTTTAGAAGTTCAAAACAGCCCAATCTGGATCTCAGGTTCACACCTAGTATTTGAATGATGTTTTGGGACCAAGCCCAGTTCTTAATTTGGAAGGATGTTACCTGGTAGCTCTGGAGTAAGGATCAATGCCCATACATTATTTCTTTCCACAGGGTTTTCCCACGTGTTTTGCAATAGGAGCAGTCCTGTGCCCTGTATCACTGATTGCAGAAAAGCCTTCTCCCAGGAAGAGCTTCTCACTCAGATTAAGGCATTTCTCCTCATCTGCCGTGAGCATCGGTGCTGCAACACTCCCTTTTAGCTCTGGGCTGTAGCTCTGTATTGGGCCAACAAAAACAAAACGTCCTAAAATGAAAACCTCCAGATGATCTTGGCAGAAACAGCACGTCCATCACAAATGGAAATCACATTTGATATTCCACAATGGCAGGAAACTCACCTGGTTTTATTTAGTCTCCGCACAGCTATGTGCTATTGGCACTCCTCCAGTGTATCTCTTTCGAGAGAAACTCTTTTTTTCTTAATACTGTCTGCTAGTGGCTCTCGTTCCTTATCTAAAGCACTCTGCCTGTTTGGTTTGCACTGAGAACCTTTGCTGAATTTTCTGTTCCTCAGTTGTAAAACTTGTAAGGGAACTCCGCAGCTCCTGCATTTACAGCTCTGTTCCCACAACAAGGTGCTTAAAATAAAGGAATTGGCTCAGGGTAATTGCTTGATATGAGAAAGATTATACAGGCAATGAACATCTGTATCACAGCTACGGTTGATGGCTCTGAGTGCTGTATCATGTGCCAGGAGATGTCTGCCAAAAAAAATACTAAAAAACAATTTTTTTTTTCCAACCCAACATATGCTCATATAAGACCTCGCCAGTATGCAAAGAAGCTCATTAAAAAAAAAAAAAAAAAAAAAAAAAAAAAGAGAGAAAGAGAGAAAGAAAAGGAAAAAAAAACAGGAGTGTTGAAATAACAGGAAATTATGCAACTGATACCTGAACCTGAGCGTTGCAGATCCTATCCGGAAGCTTCAGTCTCTCACAAAGCCCTGGTAAAATAAAACAAGTTATCCTTCTTTTTTGAAACTGAACTTGTCAGTGCAGAGTCAGACGAAGGCTTTGCACCATCACGGTCACTGCAGGCAGGGCAGCTGCTGCTTTTAGCTGAAGCTGCGTAGATAGAATGGGAATGGAGAGACAAGTCTGGAACAAATCAGCTGCGAGTTTTGGCCAGAAATTTCAGCTGGCCCAGAGAAGACTTGTCTCCAAGATAAGTGCACGCAATGTGTCCCACCTTGTTATTTCCATGATGGACTGAGAGGTGCATCGCTCCAGCTCTTCTTCTGGAAGACCTGCAGCCCCCACTCCTGCACTGGACTTAACCCAGAACTCCCAGAAATTCACCTGGGAAACCAAGGCAAAGGCACAGAGCCCTCAGTGAGGAACAGATGAGGGTTACGTGAGCCGAAGCTCACTCTCAGTACGTGATGTGGGAGCGCGGTCAGGGCTTGTCCCAACACAGCACCAGGAGCTCAGCCTCACAGCTTCAGACTTGTCATGGGAGATCCCCATCCCAAAGAGCAAAAAATAATAAACGAAATAAAAAAATTAAAAGTTCTCAGGCTCAGATAAGCTTATCTGCCCTTCTCTCCTCATTGAAGTAACAAGCCCTGGCTATCCACCCTTGCAAATGGGTTATTCTGCTCTAAGAATCCAGATGGAAGCAAATGGAAGCCGCAGCAGCAGTGAGAAGGCCCAGAACTGTTCATCTTGTCAATTAGTCACATAACAGGGGAAGGAACAGCAGAGGCAGGACCAGAAGGGATGAGCATAGTGCTCATCCATGTCCTCTGAAAGATGACATCTGCTTTGGTGGAAGAGTCTTCCAGTAGCACAGTATGGAGACGACTCATGGGTCTGGCCTGCAAAGCCCAGTGGAGATGATGGAACCTTTTGCACTGGATTCAACAAGTTAGAATCTCATCACTTTCCTACTTTAGCCTTAATCAGCAATGTTTGTAGGGTTATTCAGGAACCTGCCCTCACCCCAGATCCTGCACTCTGCCCATCCAAATGCTGGTACACAGCCACAATATATTTTCCTCTTTGCAGCACAGTTCCCTCTCCACCACTCTTACTGTTGGGCACATTCCCAGAGCCTGGAGGGAAACAACCCCCATCCTGGGCTGCAGAGCCTCAAAATTGTCTGAAAATTAAAAAAATAATGGATTAACCATCGCCACTACTGCCTTCCCAGGCCCAAAGCCATAGAGCCTCAGAGACAGCCCCTCTGCGGGATCTGGTAATGCCCTCTGGCCCGGTGGGACCTGAGCCCTGGGATCATGAAGGAGTCCTTTGTACCTCTGAAATGCCGTCAGCTTGTGAAACAAAGCTCCAACAGTCCCAGGCTCCTAAATGCCCAAGAAAATGAGTGAGCAGAGAGGCTGGGAGAGTTCCCGAGCACGTCTCAGTGGGCAGAAGCAGGGCTATCTAATCAGATGTGGATGGAGAACAAATAAAAAACAGCTGCTTTTCACCAACTCTTCTCCCAACTGGAAAAAAACGCATACATACACGAGAACAAGGGAAGAGGCACTGATGAGCTGTTATCTGAATTTATTGCCAGCATCTGACCCGCAGTGGGGTCTTTTTTTTCCCCTTCTTCCTTTAATTTACAACCCAGTTTCTCATCATGTCATGACATCACCCAGGGTGATGGATTTCATAAACAGGCACACACATTGCAAGGAAAACAGGATAGCTCTGTAGGTCACGCCGGGCTCTGCACGGCAGCACCCCAGCATAGGTCTCCAGGCACCCTTTCTTCCAAGAACTCATTCGGCACGGACGGAGCCACCCACCTCCTGAGCTTTGCTGGGCTGAGGGCAGCTCGGGGGGGATTTTTGCACCACACCAGCCTACAAGCCGCGTTGCACCCTTGTGTCCTCTTGCCCCACCCTAAGTGCACTTTCCCTTCAAGGAAGCCAGACAGCTCTGCACTCAGAGATGATTTATGCATTTTTCTTTTGGCAGTAAGATATATCTCCAATCCTTCAGAGACTGGGTGGAACCACAACTGTCTTCTCCATTCAAGGCCAGGCTGGAGAAGCCCATGGTCATTGCATGCATGACCGATGTGCTCTCCCATCCAGCATCAGCCCGAGGCCAGCAGCACCCACGCGGTGCTCAGGAAGGAGCTGCTGGCTTCCTGTACCTAGTGCAAGCAAAGTGCTGCAGAATGTTCTGATATTTGTTTGTATCAAAAATGTTTTGGATGCTGCAGCAGCAGTCTGGGCAGATTACAAGTCGATCCAGAATGAACCATTCAGACTGTACCTCCAACAGCTTCACCCACTGTCGTAGCCTGATTGCTTGTAAAAATCAATTAAAATTTACAGGAATGGGAGGCAGTCAGAAAAGTAACTTCCCAGGTGTCTGAACACAGTAATAGAAATACAGAAAACTGGCTTTACTATTTTGGAAAGAGCATTTGACAAATGAAAAAACATACTTTCTGTTTTTACAAAGAAAAGCTCAGCACAGATGGTGGAATGAAAGGAACAAGAATGTCAGCCCCCAGATGTATATGGGTCATTAGGAAACCCAAACAAGCAAACCACTATCGCAATTATTCTCAACACTCACATTGCCTTCCTCATCATGAGGCATCGTTACACCACTGTACAAGGGAATAAAGAAAGGTTTAAGAGCTGGCCTGCTGTCACAGAAGATGGCAGGGCAGGTAGAGATGACATCCTGGGTCCCCTGGATACTCCTCCTGCTTCTCAGGAACCGCAAGAGAAAAGCTAGGGCACCCTCATTTCAAGATAACATCAGTCTTTGTAGAGGTCAAAAAGTACTTCTACATCATGTTTTAACAGAAACCAAGTGTTCAGTAATGAAAGTAAACATGATTTTAAATCTAAGCCTTTCAAGACCCAAGTCTCATATCTCTGATAAGACTGATGGTGTTATCTGCTCTGAAAATACAGCGCTTTCATTTCATACCTCCTGCGTCATATAAGAGTCCTTAATGAAAGCAGCCAGAGAGCTGGCCAAACCACTGGGACTGAGACTATTTTCTGAGAGGTCTTCCTTGGGGCTTTTAGCTTCCACTTTATTGTCTCATGCTTGTGACAGCAGTCATCTTAACAGACACTGTAAGTGACTTCATCATTAAAACATACTGCCATGACAACTGGCTCTTTCCCCCTCTGTTAGCATTGGGTGTAAGTTCGAGTTCAACACCTGACCTCTTGGCTCCATGCTGAGATGCTTAGCAAGCCATTGCAGTTAAGGATGCTATGTAATGAAGCAAATCATCCTTCCTGCATCACCAGCACTGTCAATCGAGCTGGGCTAAAGGTTATTCTGCTTCAGTGACTCTAGTAGCCTGTTGGAAATGCTCTCAGATGTGATCCTTATATCAATACATGTGATAAAGGTGGAAGAATATTGTGATTGAAGAGTTCTGCCTTCACAGGTCTCAGTAAAGCAGGTAGAAAATCTGTTCATGGATCTGCATACCAGCTGCTGAATTTCCCACCCAGTAGATGATGTACAACTCACATCCAGACAGAGAACGGATGTAGAAAACAAACTAGGGAAGGGAAGCCTCCACAACTCTTGTTGTGATAGAGCAAGCAGGCCATGCCTCTTCACCCAGACCTTTTGGGAAACAGGATGACTTTGTGGATATTGCTTGTCCTGGCATTGGTCTCAAGCTCGAGCAGATAACCCCAGAGGAACTCCCAGAAACCCAACCATTGTGCTGTTCCCTTCTCTACGCATCCGACCTATAAGCCCACCTACCCAACCGCTTGGCCCCATTCTCCCAGTAGCCATTGGGCTCTCTACAGTGACCAGAGCCCAGGAGCTCTCAGATAATCTCCTGATGGAGAGGGAGCAGCCTCCTCCAGTCTGGTTGCTGGTTGGGATAATTCTCCCTGTGACTGATGGTCAAAAAGCTATTATGTACTGAGTGGGAGCAATTTATTCTGTAATGCTTGTGACATTGCTTCAGTGCTTGGCAATTCTGTCTTGTTATCACTGGTGGAGAATTTTACAGGCCACTGACAGACCTTCAAACACAGCCATTGCTGTGTGGAAAGTCCAATTTGCTTTGGAAATCTCCTGACACAAGGCCTTGTCTTCATGGTCCCTTGGCAAACCATTTTCAGCACATGCACTGGTTCACGACCCTGTGACTTAACAGACATCATGAAATTTTAGCAGCAGAATCCATCACTTTGAAAGAACCCCTAACAAGTTTGTGACCTAAAAGTGAGACCTAATATATTGGCATCTCCACACAAAGG